AAAAGAAAAGGAAAGGTAAAAGTTTTTTAACGTTTTACGTCACAGTCTCTACGAAGATGAAAACAAATATATATATATATATATATATATATATATATAGTGCAAAAAGATGCACTTTCTGATTTCAAATTGTCAAAAGCCATGAAGGCTTTTTAAAGCCTACCAAAACGTTTCAAACGTTAACATTCACATCCATTAAGCCTGTTGCTAACTGACAAAGGTTTCAAAATAAAGGATTTAAAGGTTTTGAATGCTAATAAAAGGTATGTTATAATATAAAGAATATATTATAATTTTTAGTTATAGATATTAAAATATATTCTATTGATTAGTCTAGTATGTTGGGCTAAAACGGCCCAATGACACTCTTAACATGGTGTGATATTGTCCGCTTTGGGTCAAGCCCGCACGGTTTTCCCCAAAAGGCCTCACACCATCCCTACACCTTATATGTAGACTCCCAATCTTTTCAGCTACCAATGTGGTACTTTATTCGCACACCCAACAATCTCCCCCTCGAACTAAGTTCCACGTGGCCTATTACCACGATCCACGTGTCAATTTTCGAGATTACTGTGTGCCACCCACATTGTTAGAGTATTATGTCAACCGAAGCCCGCAACTAGCTTCTTCTTGTGTGCGTGCCGCCCCGCACCATCACTCCGCCATCTCCATACTCGTCCCACTGAACCTAGGCTCTGATGCCAGTTGTTGGACTAAAACGGCCCAATGACACTCTTAACATGGTGATATTGTCCGCATTGGGCCAAGCCCGCACGGTTTTCCCCAAAAGGCCTCATACCATTAAGAGATCCCTACACCTTATATGTAGACTCCCAATCTTTTCAGCTACCAATGTGGGACTTTGTTCGCACACCCAACATGCATCACACTAATACACTCTTTGCAGTCTTTGTATACCCTCCTTAAAGAAGAAAGCAAAGAGAACTGATAAATCCAAAATATGTTGAGTCACACATATTCTCATATTCTACATCCTAGGTCTTTAGGTTTTATCATTTGCTCATCTTCTTAGAAGGGTATAACAAATATGGAATGTTTTCTTCAGTTTTTAGCCTTGTTTCCACATTTGGCCAGAACAGGATTTTCAACAAGTGTTTAAAGTTATCATGACTCGAAGAGAAAACGAAATGTATATGCAAATTAGGAGAGAGCTTCTATCGTGATTTTAAAATTTGTTAGTTTCTCTTTCAGAACTTCCAAATTGGTTTATTTTTCTAGCTACTCATGTCACTCATCATTTTTCAAATGCTATAATTCCTAGCACAAACCAACCAAGCTTTGATTGAATGTAATTTCCAACTGATAAACCAACTGCAACAAATTGCATAATACAGATCAAGAAAAGAAGAAGTATAATAAAGGATTATACTCCTAAATCTGGCAAGTGAAGGAATGGAAGTATGTTTATCAATTAATGAACAAGCCGACATAAAAAATTACTCAAAGATCATTAGACTCTGTACTTAAAAAAACTCATGTGACTGACTACAAAAAGCACAAGTCCTATGCTACTCATGGCCTAAGTTGTTCGTCCAAGCAGGTGCTAAGTTACAAATAACTTAATTACTAACTCTCAAGGACATGAAGCCTAAAATAGAATGTAAGAAGGACAGCATGCAACTTGAGCACCAGTTTAAGCAAAATCAATACAGACTACTTTCTCCAACTCCAAAGGAACTTAGGCTACCTAAATCATGAATCATTATAATCCATAACTAGCATCTCAACAGAATCCACGATTTTGCAAGGAATCAAGTCACAGTGCAATCATTCAACAATTTACAAAAACGTCAGTTAACAAGTTCCACAACAAGAAGGTCATCCCAATTCTTAAACACCATAACCCGACAACACAAATGAAATGAAGTGTGCATTATAATTACTAACAAGAACGAATGCTCTAGCCACCAAAAAACTAGCACAAAATTATCAGCAAAAGTTTCCTACGACAGATTGGTGCAGGTGAGCTTATGTCATGAATTCTCATGTGAGCCTTCACGACTCTATCTAACTTAATTATGGCTCAGTTTCAGAAAATGTAGAATGCCTACGCTTTTGTTAGATACTAATATTAAACAAGAATTTACGATGGAAGTTTATGTAAAAGTGAAAAGGTGACAAAGTAAGAAATATAGTTTATTCTTGTGGAAAGAAGTGCAAGTGAACTGGATAGATGAAAAGATCTATAAAGGTGACACTCTTGTAAACAGATCATAAGATATTATTATAAGATTAGCCTATAGCTTGGTCACCAAGAAAGGTGGCACTCTTGTAAATAGAAAGCTCAACAGCTAGCAAGAAAAAAATCAACACCTAAAATCCCTTTATCCAACTGCTAACTACAATTTCGGCACACATTGACAACCCAATTTTTCGAAAAGAAATTCTCAAACAATAATTTCAAGCACAGTATATTAAAAGCAGAACAAGAGACAACTCAGGTTTCAATATTATTATAGGACTGCCAGCTTAAACCATGGCCAAAATTGGGTCCAGCTGCATCCAAGACCATTTATCGGTATGGATTCTCATATCCCGATTCAGGTTGAGCACCACCATGCAAATCACCACTAGAAGACATCTCATAGGTCACATTTTTTTCTCCTTGAAACTTTCAAAGAAAATAGTTCTCAACAAATCCATACTGATAAAGGTGCAATTTAACAGTTTCAACATCCATGTATTTAATGTTGTGACATTTTTTACATGGACATCTAACATTGTCACCACTCATGCGATTGCGCTGAGAACAAGCAAACTGGAGAAACTTTTTCACACCAGTTATGAAACTGATTTAGTACACCCTCGGCCATCTAACCTTTTGTACATCCAATCATGCTCTAGATTGTCCATGTTCCTATTTAATATTAAAATAAAAAAGACCTTAGAGTTCTTTATTTAACAAGACATCGGAATGCTTTCTAAAATGAATAACAAGTTGACATCAGAATAAGCTGAGAATTACTAACACCCCGATCTTGGAATGAAAACAAGTCTTGGAATGTTCAGTCTTTGACCAAAATAAGAACCTTAAAGACAAATGAAATGTTCTATATTTAGGATTACATAAGTCGAAAATGATTAGATAACGTAACTAACTAGAGAAAAGAGGGGGGGGGGGGGGGGGGGACATAACTAACGAGAGAAGCTACTATATGCAATTAAGTGAACAATGTGTGTATTTACGACTAACATTCTGTGTGATCTATATGCGTTGTTGGAAATTAGTCTGCTTTCTCCGTTGGCAATGGAAAAACTGTGAGATTTCTGTTGTGAAGTTGTATAACGCATAAAATTGTTCTATTTTAATAATTAACTATTGGCCAAACCTCATCAAGTTGTACAATAAGGCATGTAATTTACTATCTGATATTGCTATAGGTAACCAATAGCCTGGTAAATTTCTGTATTACATTCTGTTTCCAATTTGCATGTCCTAAAATTCAGAGTGTTAGCTGTGGCATAAACATCCATATGACCACCTCTCCTCTACACTCTAGCAAACTTCAATGATATTAGATCAGGGATGACAAGTTTACATATATTATGTCCTAGAGATTAGATTAGTGGACATAAGATGTATACACACCCAGAGATCCAGACATTCATATGTACTCACATAGAAGAAAATCAGACTCAAGTAATAAGGATTAAAGAATAAAATCCAAGTTATTGTGCAATTAAGACTGCTTAGTATTCCACGTGAACAATGATTGTAAATCTGCTGATATGTTCAAGGTCAAACTGATCTGCATGCAAGGAAAAGTATACATGATATAGTCAAACTTCTTTGAAAAATTAAGAAGTTCATAGAACCGCTTAATCAACGATGTTAACTAGGAAGCTTAACATAGCTAACAATTTCATGTAGATCAACAAAATAAAGAAAATAAACTTATACCTGAGGATACATACAATTTTTTATTAAATCTTATGATACATACAATACCATATGCTAGCCTGTTTATCCAAAAAAAAATACAAGCTCCAATAATTGTTATGAAAAATGTACCCTCCAGTTTCAAGGCTCTTCACCCTAAAAAAAGGGTGCTGCCCATCTCATCAAGATTCACTAAAATAAAAATGGAGTTGCAATATATATAACATCTTTTGTAATTTTAATATGATCCTTTTTCCATATATGTAAGCAGATAAAGTGTAAAAAAATCTGGATGAACATAATGGAAAAGTACTAAATTTTCTTAAACTTAGTTCTAGAAAGCAACAACAACAGATCGTCTTCCCCTTTTTCTTTTTCCGTCTCCATGTGAATTAACGCTATCCTCTTTGTCCAAAAATATATTTAAAAATAAAGCAGTCAAGGTTTAGACATTTTTTAAATTCTAAATCTTGATTGACGCTCGTCAAACTTGAAACCTTCTAAGAAACCAGAATTCCAAATTTCCTCTTACAGAAGTAAAATTCAGCATAAATTTAATGTCAAAATACTATTTTGATTATTTTATATTGTATTATTTTGAGTGTGTGTCAGCAGGATTTAGAAGAAGGTTCCATAACTATTATCACCAGTCTCAGATGTGGACTCGGTCCATTGCCAAAATCCATAAATGCTGAACTGAAATTCCAAATCCATGTACCCAAGATCCTCTTTAGGCGCCATCACTATTTGATCCACAAAAAGCTTTCTACAGTTTGGTTTTTCATATTGTTGGATTTTAGGTGATTATGTGAAAATGGGTTCATCAGAAATGGGAAAAGATTCAAGCTTTACTTCAGGAATGAAATCACAAAGAAGCTTACCCTTTCACCTGAGAATCTTGTGGAGCAGCAACATACGACTTAGAATTTCAGAGTTCTGCAGCAAAAATCTGCAATTTCGAAAGTTTTCTTCTATTTTTCAGACATTAACCCTAGATTCATGCCCAATTTTTTTGTATTTGAAGTAAAAAACTCACATTGTTGAAGAGTATTGAGAGTTAAGGTCCGTCTGATAGAGAGGAGAGAAAGTGGGCGTGTTTCCCTAACTGTATTGTGAGTGGGAGTCTGATAGAGAGGAGTGGGCGTGTTGTCCTTATTTTATTTTTAGGACAAAGTTTTAGCGACGGTTGGCGACGAATCGAATTTCTGTCCCTAATAATAACTAATGAAATATTATTTTAATGGAACTAGATTTTTAGCAACGGACCTAATTTCTGTCGCTAATAATATCTAATGAAATTTTATTATAAGGAAACTAGCGACGGAAAATTTTGTCACAATCAACTTCGGAATGTCTTGATAAGTAAAATGAATGCAGCGACGAATTTTTTGACGTTAAATCCTTCGCTAGGTTTTAATAAGTTTAGTCGCCCCACTTTCATCGCTAATTTTGTAGGTAATAAAGGCGCTAATATTTAGCGCCAATTTTAGCGACGAATATATGTTTTTGTCGCTATGTCTTCGCTATATTTTATATGAATTCTTTTTATAGCTTATTTGGCGACAAACTAAAAAATGCGTCGATAATCCGTTGTTATGTAGCTACGGAGTATCTCTTGTCGCTAAATTCCGTCGCTAAATGCTATTTCTTTTTGTAGTAAATGGTTGAGGAGTCCTGTGAAAAAAGTGGCTGAGGAGTCTGCTGAGAAGATCTCTAGGAAATCTGCAGAGAAATGCAAGAGTGTAAGAAAGTCAATGAAAAAGAAGGTTGATGCCAGTGAGGAACTTGGTTCCTCCAAGAAGACAGATATTGGTGACACCCAGGACGCTGGCAAGAAAAAATTAAAAAAAAAAGGTATCGTAGGGCCGTACATAAGGAAGCTGAAGGCAAGGAATGCCATTCTCGAAGGTCAGCTCAGTTAGGTTCAGGGGGCACCTGATTCCAGCAGCTCAGGAAACAGGTTGAGGACATGAAGGAGAGAGTACTCAACGAGCAGGTTTCAGCCAATGCTTGAATGGACATCCTTCTTCGAACCTTTGCCTCGTCATCTAGGCCTATCCCTCCCAGTGCTCCCTAAACAGTGTCCCTTTCCCAAGTGTCAAGTTCTTAGTGTCTATCCTCTGTTTTAGTTCTGATGATGTTTATGATCGGTACTTTTGTTTTGACTGTTTTTATTTTGTGGATGTGTCTGGAAACAATGGAACTGCTCTCTGCTCAATTATCCAAAATTAATGAAAGCTTCCTCCTTTTGTTGTGCATGCCTTGCTCTTATGTTCCATTTTCAGTCATGTTTGTGTGCACACATGTGGCATGAGTTATCCAAGCTGGACTTCTTTTTGCTTAATGCTTGTTAATGATCTTTTTATGATGCCAAAAGGGAGAAAATAATTGATGGGGAACAAGATGTGGAACAGATTCAGGGGGAATACAGGAAATGCGAATGTCATTCTGGTTCTTAGGGGGAACATTAATTATAAGTTTGTCATCATCAAAATGGGGGAAATTGATAGGTTATATATGTATCCATGTTATGTTTTGATGATCTAACAAACGTACTGATAAGAACCAGATAAGGAACATGATACACAACCTCAAGAACTTAAAGATCACCAAGTCTCCAGTTGGAGAGACAGTCAACTCTTCAGGGTCAAAGGAATAGTAGAGGGAACAACAGAGGGAGCAGATAGCTACTAGTTCCCGAGGAGACTATACAAGTCAATTGCCCCGGCTGTAAAGTTGCTGCCTGCACACGCTACAGTGCAGAAATAGTGCAGCTGTCAACTTTATGGGAAATGCCCTTTATCTAACTTGCTTACATCATTCAAGTAATGTCACAAATAAGATATTAACATCAAGCAAAGGTAAAACAAATCACTTGCACATTCAAGAACTCATCAAGCATTATCTCAAGTCTGTGTCAATCTTGCAAGTGATTCTCAAGGGCATAATGAATGAAGAACAACATAACCAAGGACCAGTTCCACGTATTAAAGTTATTACATGTCCTTAGTTGTGTTGTACCTTTGTTAAAGCACTCTACTTGTAATTCCTACTTAGCTTAGTTAGAAGCATCGTGTAGGAAATCGTTGTAAATCATAAACCCTTGTGTTTGTGTCTTGGCTAGAGTTAGTCGAGTTGTAAAGTCTTTGTAATATAGTTATTACAAAGTGGCTTGTAATGGAGTGTTACAAGTTAGTAAGGGATTAAGAGGTTAATTCCTAGGTTTAAAGTCTTTGTACTAGAGTTATTACAAAGTGTCTTGTAACAGAGTGTTACAAGTTAGTGACGGATTAAGAGGTTAATTCCTAGGTTACAATAGGTTGTAATCTAAAGTTGCTCAGTAGTGAAGTTGAAATCTTACAAGGGTAGGTCGTGGTTTTTTATCCCGTGAGCTGAGAGTTTTCCACGTAAAACTCCATTGTGCCATTTACAAACTGCAGTGTGCGTGTGTTCTATGGGAACTAATAGAGAACCTGGTTCTCTGTAGAGTTTGGTGGAACCTTAAATTCTATCACAGCCCCGTTGACCAGGTTGACCCAGAAGGGTGCCCCGTTAAGATGGTCAGACGAGTGCGAGGCGAGCTTTCAAAAGCTCAAGATAGCCTTGACTATGGTGCCGGTGTTGGTGTTGCCCACAGATTCAGGATCTTATACGGTATATTGTTATGCATCTCGTATTGGTCTGGGTGCGGTATTAATGCAGGGGGGGGCAAGGTTGTTGCATATTCTTCGCGGCAACTGAAGGTTCACGAGAAGAATTACCCCGTTCATGATCTAGAGCTGAAAGCCATTGTTCATGCGCTGAAGATTTGGAGGCACTATCTTTACAGCGTGCCGTATGAGGTATTCACGGATCATCGGAGTTTGCAGAATTTATTCAAGCAGAAGGAACTCAATTTGAGCACAGAACGTGGTTGGAGCTATTGAAAGACTACGATATCACCATCTTGTATCACCCCGGGAAGGCCAATGTGGTGGCCGATGCTTTGAGTAGGAAGTTAGCCAGTATGGGTGTAAGGCCCCGTGAAAATTTTTACTCAAAAACCCGAGATCTCATAGTGCCAAGTTAGGAATATGTGTTAGAAATTCGTAAAATTCTTCGCGGCTTACAAGCTCGCCGCGGTTCGGACCCTATGGACTGATCTATGCAATAAAAGTTAAGGAATAATGTTTTTCAGAAATGTACCTTTCCGCGGTCCATTATACGGTCGCATAATAGCTATGCGAACCGCATAGTCGCCGCAGAGTGAGGCAGTTTGATGGTAATTTTGAGGTCAACTATGCGGCCAACTATGCGATCGCATAATCAATATGTGGGCCGCATAGTCATCGCATAATCCCCTTGAAATTTTGCGAGGGGCAGTTCTGCGGTGCATTATGCGACCGTAGAACAGGTATGCGGACCGCATTCCTGTCGCATACTCGGGCAGTTTGCTCAGGTTTTTGAAACCGTTTTTGCGGTCCCTTTTGCAGGCTGCATGTCAATTATGCGATCGCATATGCGATCGCGGATTTGTGTCGGGGCTCCTAGTTTCTAATTTTCTTACCCGACCCCATGTCGATATATTATATGCTACCCTTCATTTTAGGCCTATTTTGGGATGCATTTAGAGAGAGAGAGAGGGTCCTAGAGGGAGAAGGGGTTCTTCATCAACATTTCTCCTAAGATCTTGCTTAAACCTTGAAGATTTGTCAAGAAAGGCACCTAGGTCTTCTTCCTAAAGGGTAAGGTTCTATAACCCAAGCTCTTAATTACTAGATATAACTAGGATTGACCATTAGAAGGGTAATCCATGAGGATGGGAGCGGATATCTTGCATGCATGAGCTCTTAAAGTTTTTGGTGAGGTCTTGAGCTAAAGATGGGATGAGGGATGGTAGGATCTTTCACAAACAGGTTTTAAAAGCATAATGCACACTTAGTGTTCGAAAATATGCTCAAATGAGCTAGAACTATGATCACCTCTCTAATTTGTGGTTCAATTTGTCATGTTCCCAAGAGATTGACGTTGCTAAGAATCTCGGAGGATAGTAGGACTTAAGGAAAGCTCAATCGAGGTATGTAGGATAAACTTTCTCCCTCGGAAGTGAATTCCATATTGTTTTTGTAAGTTTAAGTGTGGTTTGTCTACCAAAGTGGTATAGCCTTGAGTCACATTTTAAAAGAAAGTTAGTATACTAATTGGGTGAGAAGAATTCGATCTGCTTAATGCTCCTAGACGCTCTTATGTGTACTAAATGCCTTGATTGAATGTGTCTATTTGTTGATAAACTATAAAGATGTTTGGAAATGAATCGAATGAGAAGATGTAAAACAAATTATGAAATAAGCATCGACCCAACTGTTACGAACTAACTTCAAAAAAATATAGAATAGCTTAAAGCTCTTGTGCCCGAACTATGCCCATAAGTGGTTGTTCTAGATATTACTTTGTCATATAAATACATTCAAAGTAATGCTAGTCCTTACACATTCCGATGTTGAAATTGTACAATTGTCATGATGGGAAAAGAATAATTCAAGGATAATTGAGGTGATTGCTTGCTTATAACTCCATGGGTATTTCAATTGTTGGTTGGCATGTACCTCTTTGGGAAGAATCCCTTGTGTTTGATGTTTCCATTACTAATGAACTCAAAAATATATGATTCCCGAAATATTTGGTACAGTTATATTGGTTGATGATCCTTGGAAATAAAGGAGATGAAAATGTGGAAAACTAAAATGCGGCCTTCGTGCCATGAAAAAGATGAACCTTGTGAAAGGCCCAAAGGGCCAAAGAAATACTGTTATCGAGAGATATTGAGAACATTAATAAAAACTATAAAATGTGAAAGATATTGAGGTAAGCATAATTGTATCATGCTATATTTGTATACTTGTATTAATTGTGTGCAATATCCAATCAAATCAAAAATATTTTTGGAAGTATCATTAGCAAAACCGAGGAAGGGTGGGTCATAAGGCTCATACCTGAAACTACACGTGCCGGTGTAGGGGTGGATCGTGGTTATTCCCCTTAATTGGGATGAACATGGTAACATTTGTAAATTGGTAACGCCAACCCAAACGACATATGTAGGAAGGCAGCCTAGCCGATCGGGCCGTGATCAGACGCCATGCCGCACACATA